ATTATTATTTTCTTTTCGTGGGATTTTCGCCCTCACTTTCGCGAGATATGTTTGTAGTAGTCATAGTATCAATAACAATAGCAGTAATAGCGACCATAGCCGAGCGGTAACGGTAGCGGCAGCGGTAGTAGGCAATATCAATAGCAGTAGTAGGAGCTAGGCTGCAAAACGAATCTTTTAAAAACACTCTATTTCCCATATAAAACCATTTTAGATAATCCCCATACAAGGACCTTTAAATCAATGCTCATTTATTACTAAATAATAAGAAATTATATATGAGGTTGTTTAGAAAATTATTCAATAATTCGATCTGCCTATAGAAAATAATATTGAAATCAAATAACATCAATTTTATCCTGCCATTGCTCAATGCGGATAATGTTGAAGGAAGAGCAGGCAGAATGATTCAAGTAGTTGTCCAATCATCGAAATAAGTTGCGAAGGTCGCGGGCTTTCAATTTAAATCATCGAGAAGTAAGCATAGTAGCATTAGCCGCATTGGCGAGATGTGTGCCCACGACCCCCTTGTGAAGGAAGGACATCTCGGGCGATGTTGTATGATGACTGCTCTCATTATAACATCTAACAGTCTAACACCTCCACGACCCAACACTCCTGCAGCCCAGGTGGCTGCATCCGATGTCCTTCCATGTCAATTCTCACAGGGCGCTGTATCAGAAATGCAGGGACGACCTTCACTTCTTGCAAGGCTGCGGAGATGGAACTCAGGGTTGAGATCGGGCAGGCCAAGCGCCTGCGATAGCACTGGAACTGAGGTCCGCCTGCAAGTCTTCCATCAGGTGCCCACCGTCTTTATGGGTGCATGCACGGCCGAGAAACGTAAGAGTTCAGGAACAGCTTGTCTAAAGCATCGCGTGATGCTCGGGATTTGCGAGCTCTCTGTATGAGAGCGCAGGCAGTGGCTAGGGCGAGCAGTTCAATGCAACGCCATGCAACGCCACATTCATTGGTGGGAGTGCAAGTGGAAGTGACCTGGCGATACCGTGTAATAGCTTCCAATAGCAACATCAAGGGTCTGTTCTTACCACCATGGACCATTGAGCTAGCATGGGCCCATAATTAGAGTCAGTCTCTCCACAGCGTCTCCTCAGCGTGCTAACCTGGCGACGGCCATGCAGATTGCAAAGAGTTCCGCTTTTCGGAACCCTTGCAAGGCAGCCGGCATGTCAAGGAAAAGATCCTACTTGTAGAGCTGCAAACGAACGACTCAATACAACGCCCATGGCCCACGAGGCTTCCTGAACAGCCAGTCTTCGTGGCAACCTGGCCGACCGCCTTGCAATACGTCCATGAATTGCCGCACATTGATTGCGCGGTAAAGCTGAAAGCGGGCTTGCCCAGATGTCAACCGACAATGCCAAAACAGCATACCAGCCAGTCACATGTCACAATGTGAATCCCTTGGCCTTCCAGTGTAGATAGACTATGCTAGACTCACAGGCTTTTCCACGGAGCCCTGTATACATGCAACTTAGTCAGAAACCTAAACCAATTCAATGGAACTATACATTGCATAGATGACGGTTGCACTTGAATCTTTTCTTCACATGATCATCCAGCGACTCAGGGCGCTAGACACTTTGCTGTCATGAAGTCCGGTATTGAGATCAGGAACATGGCAGACTGTGGTATGACTCATTCATTGAAGGGTGCACGTATCTGTGTCTGTGTGTGTCTCTGTGTGTGTGTGTGTTTGTGTTTGTGATTGTCTGCGCGAGTGGTGTTCATCGCAATAAACCTCATAAGCGCTTGACATCCGGCGCACCCAAAGGCGGACGAACCCGAGAAGTTTCCACATCACGGCCGCGCCACGCGCGTCTGTCCGATCAGGTGATTAGCGTTGGGACAGCATCCCAGCTCTCGAAGAACCTCGGCTCCAGGATTTAAGGGAGGTCGAAAGCTCGGCCTGGGCCTTCAACTGCGGATCCTAGGCCCCTTTGACACACAAAAAACTTCTGGATGGAGCCGGCGACCGAAACCTTGACCATCTGCAGAATCTGATATCGCGCACTAGCTGTCACTAGCTGACCCGACGCGGACTGTCTACAACCTGGCCACGAGGATTGGAATATGCGTGCTGACTGTCGCCTAAGAGCTGGCTGTTGAAACCACGCCCATCTAAGCCAATCCATGACATATCAATGTCGCAAGCTTGAGCAAGGGTCTGCGCTTATCACGACTCTGATGCCAGCGTTTACAGTCGGCAGCAATGCATCCAGTACCCAGATCTAGGCCCAATCTCCGTTTGGGAAAGTCCAGCAACGGATACTGCATCAGCTGCCTCGCGGATGGGCGCTCCTGAGCGCGAAGTCGAGGCATGAATCTTTTCACCAATTGCCTACCCAAACCAGGCATCATCCACCACAAGAGCGGCACTTCTCCAATGCACCACACATTGCCAACCCCTACATTGTAAGCCCCAGCCTTTGGAGTGAGCCGCGTGCAGCAGGAAATCAGTGCCCGGAGCTCCGGGCTTGCCTGGGCAGTGGTTTCAAACTCAGAAAGATTTAAGCCAAAACTGCCAACTTCCCGCCCAGCGGCATGTTCAGGAATCTGAGGTGGCTCCTCGAGGCCACGGGGGGTCGCTTGGAGACATCCGCAGGCACGAAGAACGCCTTGCTACCCTACCTTTTGACTCCATTTTCGGTAGCAACTCCTTGCTGGTTGCCACATGAATAATGGCGGCAACATTGGTCTCGAAGTGGCCCCACGGAGGTCGGGTTGTAAGCATTTCCTGAGACCGCGCTCAGATGCAATGATCACCGACAGGGCTTGAATCCATCGCCCTAGACATGCCCACAGCAAAGCATTTTTGGAACCTGCAGGTCCTCTGGGTTACTGTAGGTCTTGCCAAGATGCGATGAGGACACAGCCAAAGCTCCAGATGTCGGCTTTGCGCCCGTAGGGCTGCTGATTAACCACTTCCGGCGCCATCCACTGGACAGAACCTGTGCGACATGGCTCTCGAAAGGGAATACCATGCCATGCACCTAAGCACATGCGGGGAATTTCAGCTCTGTTGGCACAAAGTGCGATGGGTGACCTCTCGTTGGTTGAAGCATTTTAGCCTTGCACATGTGCAGCACGCACAGACTTCCATGTCGGGCCATGTCCGGCCAGCTTCGATGGCCTCGGAGGGTGTGCACAGCATTTCCTGATGCACGCTTCGAGCATCCGAAGTCTGCCAGCTTCACAATGCCGTCCACACCTGAAGGCGCTGGGAATGAATGCATGGGTTGGATCGCAAACTTTCAGCCCGAAGATTGTGTCATCCCGACCAAGAGAAACTTGCAGCGCACTTTTCCCAGAACACCTCCGCCAAACTGAGGTCCGACTGAAGGTGTTCTTCTTCGATTTGTGCCAAACCCGAAACGAGACAGTATCCCGAATGCTCGAGGTTCGAATCCGTTCCGCGATGCGCAAAAACCTGACGGGCCGGAATTCCGAAACTCGGAACGTCATCTACACCCACATCGAAAATCCAGCCTAGAAGGATGTTGGCCGTCTTGACATCCCTGTGCAGGATGGAGGGCTTTCGAGTGTGCAGGTAGTGAAGCGCCTCCAGCACCTCAGGCATGCACCCACGTCGTTTCGAATTCGAGGTACACGACGCAAATGCAAGCCCGCGAGCTCAGAGGCTTTAGATGCGTGCCTTCTTGGAGTCATTAGTTCATTTCGGCTTGGCATGCCACGGGAATCTGCCGAAATGCGGGGGAGGCTCTGAATTATTGCCGAGACTTTAGACTTTAGACACGAGAATCATAAGAGGACACAGCCTTAAGTATATAAGAATTCTATCACATAGAAAAAGTGTTGACTCCTCGGCAAGACAACACTTGGCAGCAAGACTGCTGCTCCGGCCTGGCGCGAGTAGGTTGCGATGTCAGGCTCATCGAAAGCACCGATCTGCGAAAGTAGTTGGTTCCTGGGCCACTATGCCACTCCATGAGTTTCAAGGGTTGGAGAATGAGGCTTTGATGTCCTGACGCCGAGATATTGGAATTTATCACCTCCCCGGTGTACGCGTTAAGGAGTCGGCAAAAGCCAAGATTCAAAGAGCCACCAGGCATGCATTCCAGGAAGATGTACATCGTCTCGCCGATGCTCTCGGTCCCAAAGAAGGCAACGATGTTGGGGTGGCTTACCTTCCTTGAAGTCAGGGTTGTGTGTCCCCCACCAATTTGAAACGAGGATGCGTGAGCATGAGTGAGAAAGCCGGATCCGAGAAGCCTGAGAAGTAAACATGAAGCTGTTGATGAGGACTCCATTAGGGTAGTATCTGCTTGACTGGCAAGAGGTTGCTGTAAGGACAACGACACCCCATGTGCGTTCCTCTTGTGATTACACCTATCCTGCTTGCTGAGGTTGTCTGCTTTTCAAGATGATGAAAGACGACTGTCTCGATTCCGATTATCCTGAGCTCGGTCTTAAAACCCAATTCCCAATGAAGCCTGAAACCTTTACACCTGAAGCCTGGGCCTGAACTCCCCAAACCCGGATCGGGAGGTCCGTCCTGTAGAGGGAAACCTCGCGGTCCACGCAGAGCGGAGCTCGCTTCTCTCCCTCCTCGGTGGTGTCCAAAAGCACCTCACGTTGACGTGCACACATTTTAGAGAGAGGAAAGTTGTGTCAGAAAGGCTCTGCTTCTTCGCTTCTTCTTCGTCGGTTGCTTCGGGGATCTTCGGCTTCAAGTGACAACGGTCGGCAGTTGTCAGCCCGAGCCCAGCCTCTTTGACAGCCATCTTCTGGCCTGTGTGGCGGTCGGTTGCCATCCAAACGGAACCCATCCTCAACTGCTCCAAACTCGACCATGTTCGCATCTCTTAGACAGCTTGAAATTGTGATTTGGTGCTTGGAGATGGTGCTTCACGCCAAGCGTCGCGCCACGGCCCAGCAGTTGGCCGCGAATCCATTCGAACTTCTTGCCCTGAAACAAGGTGCCTGCATGCCGAGTCGAGCTCACCAACGGAGGCTGCGGCTGGACGACTTTTACAATGGACCGGCGACCTATGCAAACGGCGCCTGTAAGAGTGCCTGCAGAGCTCAGCGGGCACGTAGTGCTACCCGCAGTGGACGACTTGGACAGCCTTAAGAGATGCTGAGGGGGCTCCAACAGTGGCGTTTGCAACTGTTCGGAGTTCGCGCCACCTCCGATCACCAACTGCCCACTGCACGTGCGGTTCTGCTGAGAGACGACTTGCGCTTCCGCCGTCTGGATTTCTGCGCCTCGGCCGGCAGTCTTTCTGAACATGGATCCGCTGCAGTTCATCTCCAACAGCAGTTTGGTGGAAAGCACAGTGGCATTCGAGTCTGCACTAGAGCCTTAGTCTAGTGTGCAAGACAACGCGTCGCCACTGTTCCTGTTCCGCGGTTGTCACTGCCGAGGCGCACTCACCGGCGGTAGCGCCGAGTCCCTCCTCCGTTCAATCGGGGGCAAACGGAGCCCAGAGAGGCCGAAGCTCCAAGAGCTGCAGCCTGAAGCCGCAAAGAGATCAGTCTCTCGCTCTGTCAGAGTGGACACGCTAGGTTGAGGGAGTTGGCAGCATGATCGGCAGATCTTGAATTCCGGCTTCGGTCGTGTGGTATGCAACGTGGCAAGCCGCCTGTGCCGGCCCCACTTCCACTGGGAGTTGCCTCGGCTTTAAGTCGCGATTGGCTGAAGTTGCAACAGGCCAGCCAAGCCCGACCCCAGCCAAGAGCCTCAGAGCCCCGTCCCTAAACCCCTGCGGCCCCTCCACTGCCAAGCTGAGCTAAGCGTCGGTGGTCGCGAGGCTCGCCGCACTCGCCGCCCGGAAGCCTCGGAGTTCAATTCTCCAAAATACCCTCGGGGCTCAGGATGAGAAGTGGCAAACTTCCGCGCTCTGCACTGACCTGAAAAGACGTCACTGCTCGGCTACGTGCCTCTCGTCAGAAAAGCCAACCCGAGATGAGACAAAGAAATTAGCAGACTATGGGTGGCCCAGGCGCAGTCCGTGGCCGACCCTCCCGCCTCCCCGAGCTCGCACTTCCTTAGTTCAAGAAGCAGTTGCTGGGGTTGGGCTGCGGTCTTGTACGCGAATGACTGGATCGCCCGGGATTGCCATGCAAGTAAACATGCAGATGACGTCCTACGACACGGCGTCAAGGGCACCCCGGCAGCACAGCAACATACGATGTATCCCTTGAATCCCATCGTGAATATGACTGCTGCATCTCAAAGACACCCACCACGACCATGAAAACCATAAAGGTGAATTTCCGGTCGCTGTTATCCTTGCACATATACAAGGCCAGCGGCTGCACGAACTCCCGCGCCTCTTGAAGAATGGCCAAGGCTGGCAAGCGATAGCCTTGGCTGCCTGACAAGGTCGAGGGCGCATGTCGGAGAAGAAAGACAGTCTTCCCATGCGGCCGGCCTTTTAACATGGCCTCACCGGCCCTACGCACGTCTTGGAGCCAAGTCGGCTGCCAAGTTCAAGCGCTCATTGCCTGGGGTGTCCTAACTGGTCCTGCTTCTTCCTGTCCGCAAGAAGCGAGTCAGAACGTTGAGTCGGGCTTGAGAGAAATGACCGGATACCTCCCATGCCGTGACCTGTGCAGCCTTGCCCATACCATCTCGCAGCTCCCACTTTTTAAGCGGAGAAGTCAGCGTTGAGAGCTTCGGCCAATCAGCCGGAGCCCCATCGACTTAAGACCTGTGGGAGGAACTCTGTCGCGAGGAGGGGCGGCCTTAAGGTTTCTCAAGTGTAGTGACGTAGAACTTCAACCGTCCGCTTGTAGAAATTACCATTCTCAGGGTGTCAGCAGCTGTTGCAGTCCAGCCGAGCCTGCATGCCTGGTTCCAAAGTCTGTAACTCGAGGATTCGAGACATGACTCACGGTGTTCACAAGATAACATCCAGCAACACCTCAAGATTACGTACATGATCATTGGACCTTCGAGTGGCACGAAATTATTTTCTGGAAGACCTTGTGACGATCTCCTGCATATCTATGCCAATCTATGCAGTTGCTAAACACGTCTACACGTCTCCAACATTCGCCGAAACCGAGCCTGACCGACGCGCACCTCCAGGTGAGTCGGGCGCTTGCCATCCTTCTTCTTACGAATGTAGATGCATGGCTTGTGAGACTGCAGGAACCATACCCAAAGATGTTTCCACCGCTTTTGGTTGACGAAGAACGTGTTTACCTTACATAGCCTTGGTGGTACCCAGCAGCTTCGACGTTGACGCGGTGCAAGGACCTGCGGACTACAACCACTACGATGACCGATGATTGATCATACCTTCTGACATGGCAACAACATGCTTGAAAACCAAGCTCCCTTAAGTTCAGCTCACGGCATACTCTGAAATTCTATATCGGAGCCTAGTGCAGCAGTAGACCCAAAGAGCTGGTAAGTTTCCCACGAAATTGCATTCTGTCAAAGCATGTCCAAGTTTGCAGACAGCCAAGAAACCAACCGTCGGTTTCCTGATGAGTCCGAAGTTTCTATGGAGCCATCACACCCTAAGCCCGAACTTTCGGCGTCCTCATCGGCGGATAAGCTCCGGGAGGCAGCCACCTGGCTAAGGACATCCATATACATCCATGTAATCCATGTATGCACGCAAGCTTTGTAGCTTGTTGCGCTTGAATCATTGAAAGAACTCGAACGTATGTCTATGCTACATGGGGTGCCGGCCTCCACAGTTGCTGCCACTGCTGCAGTAATTACTGGCAGGCACATCGCTCCTCAAGTCCCGGAAACCTGGGAACTGCGGCACCCGCCTGTGCAGGACCCGCTTGCAGCGCGAGCTGATAGCGCTGGGAATCCAACAAAGCCCGGAGCGCCATCCGCCTTCCGAAGAGCAGAAGACTACGAAAGACGTGGGACGTCCGAGGTGGAATGCTTCAGAAACCTCACAGGATCCGGCCCGGCGGCCTCTTCTGGAACGTGTATGACATGGATCCTTGCAAAGGTTTCTTCCTTGGCTATTGGGGCACTTCGCTATCCTTCGTGGACGCATGCGGCCGCTCCTACTGATTCCTTGTGAAGGAAGAGTGCTCAATCAATCGCCCTGCGTGCCGACCAAGTGGCAAAAGCTGGCGGTCGTAGCTTGCAGTTGCCTGCATCGGGATTTGCATATTCCTCTCTCCTGCTCGGATGCACACGCTCAGGGTTGCACCTGCAGAGAGTGTGGTCCTGATGCGAACCGGACCACACCTCGGCCCAGGCTTTCGGGTTCATGGAGTGTGGTTCTGCGTTGTGGTTCATGCAGCTTGACTCCTTGAGCGTACAGTCATGTGGGCGATGTGTGCAGAATCCAAAACTTGTCCAATCAGTGGTGTCCGTGCAGAGGTCATGTCACACAACGTAGCATAGTTATCATAGTTTAATTACAAAAGATCACTAGTCCTATCTTTACGGACGGGATCTTCTCAGGTCGGTGGCCATCATGTACAAAGTCCACAGGCGAGTACCTGCTAAAAGACGCATATCCGAAGAGAGCACTGCGTTGGCATGGCACAGTCTCGAGCATGCTGCACACGCACGTCACCGAAGAGCACTTCCCCGGGATGTTCTGCACTGTGTAGCTCGTATGCCAACGCTTGGAGATGTCTTTGTCCACGCGGGCATTCACACGCATGCCGTCCTGGGAAGCTTGCATTAACCACCCGCTACCAGCTATGCTCCGTCGACATCGAGACTGTATGTAGACTTCTTGAACCGTCAGCCAGTACACTGTTAGCATGTAAGCTGGCGTTCGGCTATCCCTGTCAACTAGCACCCGCCGGTCCTGCGTGGCGCCATATGATACACTGGGAGTGAAGCCTTTAACCTGGCTTCATGCTCTGGCAGTGCTGCGAAGTCGCGTGCATCGTGCAAGGAAGGCTTTGCAGCTGCTGAGGCGAACTTTCAGAAGTGGAAGCAGCATGTTTGGACTTCTTTGGTGCAGTGCACATGCCCTCATGCCCAGCCTGCTGCACTTCACATCCAGACTTCAGGCATGTTTGAAGTACAGCTCACTACTTCAACCAGGAATAAAGGATGTAGCACGGTAAACCTGTAGACACAGAGCTTGCTTCTGGGCTTGGTTCGCACCTCTAATTACGAGTAGCATGACGAGCTGAGTGACTGGCTGTGGGATATGTCCTGAGACAGCTGCTGTGGACAACCCTCCAAGAATCTGTGACCTAGGCCCTCCCAAGAAGGAATCTATCGGCGATCTACGAGTGGTGGCGGTGCAGATTACATACCGCTTGCTCAGAGTAGTCGACCGTCTCTGCTGTTGCCCCTATCTAACTTAATCCAAACATTCTCCAGATTTCTTGTAGTCAAGCATGCAAGATCCTTGTCGGAAACTGTGCCATCTAGTTACACTTCGATTTGCCGAGGCTCGTGTTCAGGTCCAGATTCCAATCCAACTGCGAGTTCAACCCGCCGGTGACAATTCCGATGTCCTCCACCTGAAGGCATTTCAGCGATTGTCAGTGTGGGAAGTACTGGAACATCAAGTGGCACTTCACGGCAGCTGCTTCAAGATCGGTTTGCAGAACTCAGTAACCCTCCCCTACCTAGTGGAAGTGAAACGCCGAATTAACCAAACTACAAGAGCTGCGGAACCTCGTGGCGGAAGGCGGCACCCCACTCGCCTGTGGTTTTCAGCCACGAGGCGAGCTGACCGCCACCTGTTGGCAAAGAATCGAATGTCAATGCATGATGATAGCACGCGCGTACGTTGCCGTCGTTCATGTTGTTTTTGAGAGTCTCTGCCATGTTCGAGCTACTGGAGAGATTTGCCGGGCAGCTCCAATGGTAAAGTGTGCAGCTGTGGCCTGTTACATGCGGGACTGGGCCGCACATGCGGATCATGTGGCCTCCCTAATACGACACGTGACGCTTCTCGCAGCTGCCACAGGCGATCTCCAACTCGAAGGCCTGGAAGCCGCTGCTGGTAGCCCATGGAGAGCAGCTGCTGTGTGCTGTCCGCCCCCTCCGCACTCAGAGCAGGGTCCTGCATGGCGACGCTTGGTGCCCAGTTGAACCCCCAGACTCTGCGGTAACTACTGCCAAACGGCTGAGAATTAGTATTCTGACAAAACTTGAGGCGAGGACCAAGCTTCATATGCACGACCCCGGAACAATGGGCATGGTTCTGCCCCGTGCGATGGAGCAACCGACTTGACTTGCTCTATACAGTCCCAAAAATTGCCAGAAATGCCAAGGTCCTTCTTGATCTTGCAGAAAGCCCTATCGCTCAGGAATACTGAGAGCTGGGTCGAGAGCCTCCAGGCCGAGCCGGAAGCCACCGCCAATGCGAGGGAAGCCCAACCTTTGTAGCCCGGCTCCAAGCTGCGCTGGCACGCAGCACGAAGTTTCTGGGCCCCAAGCTGCAAAGAGACGGTGTTGTCCGTGGTGAACGGAAACCTCCACAATGTCATACTGAGTCATACCATTTTAGCATGACCTAATACCCTCCTGTTCAAACCTGCAGGGAGCGCAACAGGCACTTGCAGTCTGAGGCACCCGGTGATGGCACTCTTCGTCGCATCGCTCTCTGCGAGGCCACCGAAACCAAACGTCCTAGGCCCATGATGTGATCGGCGTGTTCCACACAGTGCTTTACAATGGTGCCATCATCAGCTACCGACATGCCTGCTCGCCTGACCCGGACAATGAACATGAAACTACGACTGGCCGACTCTCTTTCAAAGGAACTTGAATAAACCAAACGAGTGGTGTAAAAAAACTCTTACAGTACATCCCCCAATCCGTGAAGAGCCCGAACCATTGCAAACCCCGGCACAACAGCTCCAGGGGGATCTTGCGAAACTGAAAGCCCGGAATCGGCACCTGCCCAGTGCATAGTCTTGCCTAACAAGGCTTTGGGTGCGGCAAAGCCGCTCGTAGACACTTGCGGCACGTTTCGAATCGGCAGGAAACGCCTTTCTCGCTGATAAGACAAGTCTTTGGGCTCTAAATTGAACGCCGGCGGCTCCAGCAGCTGCCCAATTGAAAAGAGCAGGAGCCTGCGTTAAAGAGCCGTACGCGTCTGAAAAAGAGGATGCCACTCGCGCTGTGCTCAGCGGGCGAAGCCATCCTGGCCATCCTCCGTCAACTGAGCGCCCTTGTAAACGTAGCCTGTCAGGCCGCGCCCACATGCCCACTTGAATCGGGCCT